ACACCTGGCTACATCCGATCTGATCTGATCGGGCAAAAAACAAACGGTAAGGGATCCTTTCCCCTCCGTTTGGACAAATCAGATTGGAGGGCAGTTATATGTAAATGGACAGCTGATCCGTGTACATCTGACAGCCCATAGAGGACAGCGGGCTGTGACCGTGTCCATTCTGCATAAGTGGAGCCGACACGGGATCTGTCATCTGGCAGCTACGCTCAGCTCAGCAGGAGATCAGAGGACGAATCCCCTGCTGAGCAAATCCAGATCTGGCCCATGTGAATAGAGCCATAGGATGCCAGTGGATCTGAAATGAAACACTGAAGATGCCAAGAAATTATATTGTTTACCAGTAGAAGAAAATTGTTCTTAGCTTACCTGGGTCCCAGTCCTGAACACTGTGTTGTAGCAGGCTCAGGTCCAGGCGGCAGAAGTGGATAACATTAAAAATTACTGAGACCACAAGCCGAGCAAGAGAGAGTAGCTCACCCCTCAAAAAATTCACTGGGAACATGAGGTATGTCAGCATGAAGAGACCTTTCCTGAAAAGACATTAAAAACAGGGTGACCAGAATATAATCCACATGTTAAAGATGTAGATTTCAGATGCAGTGTAGTTAGGCTTTAAAACGCAGAGTATCAAGGAAACATGCAACGAAAAATGTTCAAAGTAATACATTTTATTTGTTTGTCTTGATAATGTTGTGTGTGACATTAATGGCCTTTGCTCGTGTGCAGGAATATATGAAGTTCTATGGTACGGGCGTTCAAGAGGCATCTCTGCAATGTTTCACAGCCATAATCATTATAGCAACAGATCACATATTCTTTGTAAAAATGTTGGTAGCACACGGCGCTACATAATAATCATCAATCAGAACTGCAGCTCACTGGGAGTTTGCACCATTCTTTCTAAACTCTAGAGATTGTTTATGAGTACAAATCCCAGCAGAAATATTCATGGTCCATTCACAGTAGCAGCTGCCTTAGAATGCAGTCACCGGTTTGCAGTAGGGTGGCAGCAGGGCTGATGCCCCAATCTCGGATCATAACTCTGTTTAATGGTTTTTGTTTTTTTTTTTTTAACGTTACTGAAATGTCACAGAGTGACGTTTCATTAAGTTCCATTGGTCATAGCATGGTACAAGGCAGTGTATTTGCATGCAGTACTTTTATTCCATGCACACTACCACAATGAAAAGCAATGCAGTTGGTGTGAACTGGCCTGGGAGGAGACAAGGCAATTGCCTTGTATTGCAGTGGGACTGCACTGAAATAGCTGCCCAGAGCAGTTCCGCCACACCTCAAACCAGCCAGTTTGGCACCACCAATCATGACATGGTCAAAGTAGCTAAAATTTTAATTATTCCCTAATTTAATGTTTGATGTGAACACTACTGGAAACTCCTGACAGATATCTGAGTGATAAAAGCTGGTAATACACTGTTCAAATTCCAGCTGTGGGTGACCTTGTCATCACCATACCCAACAAAACTTGACTGACAAATTGAAGGAGCTGGGTTAAAAATTATCCACTTAACAGTGATTGCATCCGATCAGATGCAGTCACTGTCTGGGCATTCAGGTAGCTGTGGGTGCTGTAGCTGCTTGACTACTATAGCTGGCAGTGCAGATTTCTCCATTCATGCTATTCAGAAATCTACTGATTTTCTCTTGTTCAGCCTGTTGAGAGAATGAGAGAAATCTAAGGCAGCCCATATATTATGCATTTTTTTATTCAATCAGTGTGTTGAACAAAGGAAAATGCCTCAATTCCCCAATCCACACATTCAAAGTGGATGGGGGAATCCCTCCCACTGTGGTATTGTATTCTGACAGTGGTGAGCCTTCCTAGCCATCAGAATACAATGATCAGTGTTGCTGGCTATAGCCGGCAGCACTGATTGTTTGGGAAAACCCCAACAGGATGGTTGTACAATCGATAGATTAGTGTACAACCAGCCTGCTTATCCATGGATCGAAATTTGACTGGTCCCTGCTGAACTGAATCTTGATCCATATGGCTAGCTTAACTGCACTGTTGCCAAATGATTGGCTGATTAGATAAATGCATAAATAAACAGGTATACAGGTGTTGCTAATAAGGTGTTTCCTAACTGTATATTTTTATATGGCAATCCTCCAATAACATGTTTGAATACTGCCATAATATTAAAACAAATATTTACATATGATAATTACCTGTGGACAATTTGTGGTGAATTTCCTTTCAAGAAGATGAATCTTGCACATAGCTGGTGAATTACAGTTACCAGGAACAAAAGTAACCAGAACGGCCTTAATACAAAAAAAGAAAAACATAATTTGATATGTCATGCCTGGCCTAATTAGAAATACTTCCTTTAACCCCACAGGACTGTTCTCCTCTAAAGACTGTGCTTCTCTAATGATAACCACTTAAGACAGTGCAGCCTTGTATGACACAGAATACAAAGTTATATTATACAACACAATAGAATAAAGATCACAGTTCAATTATTAATACAGTGCCAAAATTCCAGATGAGTAAAAACAGAATATAGCCTTAATGCATATCTCTTTGTCATAGCACCTATCCATAAATATAGATATTTAACTGGGAGCTCATGCATCTGGAAGGCTTCCTATCCTAAATATCAGATGAGGCATATAATTTGATAGCTAGGGGTTCCTACAAATCACTCTAACAAAGTACACAAAACAATTTGCTTATGTGACAATTTATCTTTTTCAGTTCTGAAAATATTGGGAGATTGCTACTGTACAAACTGCATTGTACATTGCACATCAGAAGTGGATACAGCTTGCTTATTATTATTCTTCACCTGTCTTTGCTGCATTTATAAGGATCTTCTGTTTGTACAGTTCAAAGAGATATGTCAGAAAAAAAAACTAACAGCTATATCTGCTCAGTTCACAGGAAGAGTAGAGCTAGATTTTCCCCCCTAGCGTATGTGGGTGGGCTTTTGGTGAAGTAGGCATTATTAAAGCACAGCATATATCATTTTTTTCAGTCTTTTACTTTTTCTCTTTTGGCTATCTCTAGATACCAGTGGGGAAGAGGGGTAAATCCAGCAACAGTACTAAGTTATGTAGGGAGGGAAAGATTGGGTCGTCTTAGAAAAATTACATCTTATTTCAGGTAGATGGATTTCCACCACTTTTTTTAATTCAAGCTTCTAGTAGACTAGAGTTAAATATAAGGTGCGTACAAAGAACAGAAGACACATTGGGGGTTGTTTACTAAAACTGGAGAGTGCAAAATCTGGTGCAACTTTGCATACAAACCAATCAGCTTCCATGTTTTATTGCCAAAGCTTAATTGAACAAGCTGAAGTTAGAAACTGACTGCATACCATGCATAGCTGCAACAGTTTCTGAGTGCACCAGTTTTAGTAAATCTACCCCATTGCCTCTAGGAATGCATTCTGCTGTTCATTTTTTAGATAATTGCCCTCTGATACCTGACAACAAAAGGGGGGTGAATTTGCATGTCAACTGTTTTTTAGTACATTGAAAGAAATTACAATTACAGACAGTCAAAATTCTATTTATCATATATATATAATATATATATATATATATATATATATATAAAAAATATATACAGCAGAGTATTTACCACAAGGCAAACAAGGCATTGAAGTTAAGTTGGTATTTAACCACCAACCAATCTGCCCCTCCTCAAAAAAGTTTTGATTGTAAATATACTTTAATGCTTGCCTCTAGACCTTACTGGATCAAACTTCAAAAGTTTGAAATCAAACTTTTTTCAATTTTGGATAGATTGGGGAATACGTTAAAACCTGTGTCAGTTTTTTTCTGTCTCTGTCCTGTTGGGGAGATTTCCTTTCACTTCTTTTCCCAGAGGCACAGCAGGATGTAAGAGACAATTTCTCCGAAGTGAGGGTTATCCCTTCTCAGGCAGTTGTCAGCAGTACAGTTTTCCCTAAATGGATATTTTCCCTCACCTCCTGTTCCTGTGACAACTCAAAAATATTGGATTTCCCACCAGTTTCTATATTAGAGATCATGGTAACAAGCACCAATAGCGGGGGTAAATCTCTCCAAGAGGGCCAGAGACAGCTATATAAACTGGACATACATTCTAGCCCTTTCAAATTTTTTCTAAAACAAAAAAAAAATGTGGCTTTACATATGCTTTAAGACAGCCTGTCCAAAATGGGTTCAGTCCGAATCCAGAAGTCATCTGTCATTGCTGGGTCAATGAGCTGTGTATAGAGATTTCCCACTTTACACCTACATGTACACAAAGGGGCGGGATGCTCATGACATCATTGACCTAATGTGACCACATGGGCATATTGGGTCACTGACATTGACCTAGTATGGGCCAGTTGAATTTTCCCTAAACGTATGAATGAGGTGAAGCTCTGCTGACTATTTTTGATTGTGTATTTTTTGCAAAGTGACCATATCATGGCAATGATGTCACGAGCATCCCTGCCCTTTTGGGTACATTAGTTGTAAGGTGGGGAATCTCCATACACAGCTCATTGACCCAGCAATGTCAGCTAACTTCCAGGTTCTGACTGAACCCAATTTGGACAGGTTGTCTTAAAGCATATGTAAAGCCAAACATTTTGCTTATCACTGATGAGGAACACTGCCTATAAATATACATTATATAGTGTTAACTTGAAACAATACTACTTTTTATTCATAATTCACACCTTTTTTGTCAGCTAGTATGTTCTGGTTTTAAAAAACAGACTCCATTACACGTACCATGTTTTTTCGAAGAACGTGCGTAAGATTTGGAATTTTCCATACGCAATTGGAATGATGATAAAAAATGTGACAATTAAGTGAAAAAGAAACAATAGCAAATGCTGCAGGATAAGGCCTATAAAAAGAAACAAAACACAAATCATTGTTAATAAACAGCTGCATTCCACTGGGTAGTACAATTAGCTGTATCTGTTGGGCCACAGACAATATATAGAGGTATCAGTAGGTAAACTACCTGTACAAGTCACTGAGGCCTGATAACTGATATGACTCATCCAGCTAGCAAGACTTGGAGATGTTTTCTGAAGAGATCGAGAGTCCAAAAACACCTTTGAGGCCTGACCAGCAAACAGAGACTGCAGGGCCCATCTAGAAAACAAAAAACATCAAGTAAAATAATAAAGAAAATTTCCATGAAACAAAAGGCCTCATGTATAAATTTGTTTGAATTGAGAACTGATATGTATGTAGCAATTGCTAAACCTCTTCCCTATATTGGATGAGCAAAAAAGAAGGAATCTGGTTATTTTGGTAAAAAAGAGAACATCCTTGAGATTCCTTGGGGGCCCTAAGTGCCTACTGACTAACAAGCAAATATAAAAGACCTACTTTTCAGCCACTGAACACTAAAATGAATCCTAATACCTTCAACTATTCATTTCAGGGGAAAATGTTTTTCTTTTAAAAGGAAAAAATGATCCATGGTGGATTACTCTTCATTGGGGTGTTTGACAGGTGGTGACACTTCCTGTTTTAGCTCCAAAAAACCCACACCGCTGCACTGAAAATGCATGGTTGTGATGCAGACTTATTCAGATAAATGGGTTGTGTTGGCCAGGTGATAGCAGCTCATAGACAACTCATAGAGAAGACAATTTCCCAATCCTAATGGTTTTAGTGAAGCACAGACACCTGCAGACCAGGAACTCAGAGAGAATCACAATTTGGTTAGGTTAGAAAACTCTGAGGTAAGCAGTGCTGGTAATGCCTCCAACTTCTGCAGTGCTCTTCAAAATAGTTGCCCTGGGTTTGGTTAGGATATACATGCATGTCCAAACCACTCTCCTAACGCCAATCGATATCTACAGGCTGACAGATTGGACACACATTTTAGGATTGGTTTACAAAAATTTTAGAGTGCAAAATCTGGTGCAGCTCTGCATAGAAACCAATCAGCTTCTAACTTTAGCTTGTTCAATTAAGCTTTGAGACAATAAAACCTGGAAGCTGATTGGTTTGTATGCAGAGTTGCATCAAATTCTGCACTCTCAGCTTTAGTAAATCAACCCCCATGCAACAGATATAATAAGGTTGATTTACTAAAAGTAAATAAACTGTTAACTTTTCAATTGAATTTTACCTAAACTTAGAGAATGAGATGAAGCTCTAATGATTTCCATCATCCAACCATGTGCAAGCAAAAATACTCTTTTTTATTTACCTTGCTTATGATTGGGTAGTCTTTGTAAAGTGAATTTTCACTGCATTCACTAATTCCCTTGCAATGTAAATGGCCTCTTTGTCTTTAGTAAATCCACCCCGTTGCATCTCTGCTGCCTCTATAGTTTATGATAAACCTAGTACACTACTGTAATAAGTATCTGCCACCTCTGTCATACCTCCAACCCATATTCAGGTGTACAATCATCAGAAACTGGGTGTGTTAGATGTGGTAGTAAGCAGACTATGTAAACAGTCTAATCTATGAATATTACTATATGGCCCTTTGCACCCAGGGCTGTCCAGCTGCAATGCGCCCCTCCTGGTGGTTTAGTGTGCACAGGAGGGACAGGTGTCCAACTCAGACAGATTGTCGAAGAATATGGAAGCTGAGCTTGAACAGGGCTGAACTGTATGGGCATTTAGGACCCTGTGAGGTTGATTTACTAATACTGGACAGTGCAAAATCTGGTGCAGCAGTGCATGGTAGCCAATCTGCTTTTTTTTTTGTTCCATAATATTTTTATTTGAGAATGAGTACACAAAAAAGAAAAACAACAGCAAAAAAAACCCCCCCAAAACATAATACCAAAGCAGGTCTCCTACAAGGTACTGGCACAAGTATGAAAGTCCTCTTGATAGTCCACTGGTTTGCCTCTGCCCAATAAAACCGGCCAGAAATGTAGGGTCTTGCTCACAGTGCACATAAGTTGTTGCAGAGTTAAATCATAACAAAAGTACAAGCCAATGCAAAGACAAAGAACATATCGGCCAATCAGCTTTTAACTTCAGCTTGTTTAATTAAGCTTTGACAAAAAACCTGGAAGCTGTTTGGTTTCTATGCAGAGCTGCACCAGATTTTGCACTGTCCAGTTTTAGTAAAGCAACCCCTAGTATGTTCAGGGCGAAGGTCCAGAATGCAGCTCCCTCAGATCTTCATTTCTGATGGGAAGACATCACTTGGTAAAGCATTGTGCCCCATCCAACTGCAGCCTTGGCGTTGAACACTATACCTGTCCCTTCCAGGCATGTAAAATTTTTTAGGGTGGGGGCACACTGCCACTGAATGACCCTGTGTTCAAGGGGCACAAAAGGTGCTATAGCCAGTTCAGCAGAAGGCGAAGTATATTGTATGAAATAACTCCTCCATCACTCATTATACAAGCCAGGTGAATCTTGTTTTCCAAATAGTGGGAGAATTAAAATATCTGACACATTACTTAATTGGTTTTTACCTCTCTGAGCTGAACTGGAAGCCTATTTATGCATTAAAAAAGAAAAGTATTTTACCCTTGTCTGTGCTCACTTTGGTGTTTATGGTGATGTTACTAGTTTTCCTGAATTTGGCTGGGTTTTTGAAGTTGGGTTTAGGGAGGCAGTTTTACTTTAGTAAATAGGCCCAGGGCGCACTGCTTTTGAGATCACAAGTCAACTGGCCCCTTAGTATTTCTTACTAACCCAGCCTAAGCTTCTTCATCTTACCCTTGCCAAGCTCATGTTCACATTCCAGTCATTGTAAACGTAGTCACTCTTCCATAAACATGCTTTGCGCTTTGCTCCTTTGCCAAGAACACATCAACTGCAGGCTCACTTCCCTCAGCAAGGACAGTTTTACTTTTTTACTAAAATATTTTAATTCAGCCTCTTCTTCCTACTAATACTTAGCAAAATGTCTTTGCCAGTTCTGTATAGTTACCTATTTTTCCCTTTTCATGCTTAGATTGTCCAATGGTAGTCACCATAATCAAAGGCTAAACTAGCGACACTATAGCTGCTCAAGCATTTGGAGAAAAATCACCACTTTAATTTAATAGGTCATCGTGAGCCTGTTATAGGGAAACAAGAATCACAGCACTTAAACCATATTAAACCCCAAAACAAATATGTAGCAGATTACAGCATATCAGTCCATAAATATGGTGGCTGCATTGGTTTTCTTTGTTTCAGACTTTTATTTCACCTTGTAATTCATACTTCCTGACCCTGGGTGGCTATGCTCTCTCCCCTATTGTATCTATGGAAGCAGCCATGATTGCCGCTCAGGTTGGACTGATAGTATGTCTTTCTTTCTGTACCTACATTACATGGTGGCTCATTTGTTTGTTTATTATTTATTACAGGGATATAGCGCCCCTCCCTGCCCTCAATGAGTTTACAAACTATAGTCCTATAGAGTGTATTACCAAAATCGCCAAAATGGGCACCACGAACCCTCAAATTACAAATGAACAACAGAGAATCCACCATACATGGCACTTTGAAGGTGCCCAGTTGAATGTACAATATAAACCACTGTGAAAATTCTATAAATGTATTCAAATTCATACAAAACATTAACAAACCACTTGGTCTTGCCAAACATGGCTATCTTTATACGTACACAATATATTCCACAATAAAAAAATGTCACATTAAGTTGTTGACCTTCCCACTCCACTATATATTGCTTGTATCCTTTGTTATATTCAAGCCAGTTAATTTGCAAAATTATGGATGGCGATGGCAAGGGGGATTTCAATGATCATTACACAATGCGTTTCATGGGTCCCAAATATCCCACCTCCTCAGATTCTGTGAGACTACATAAGAAAAACACAATTAACCCCATTCAACAGATTATTTAGAATCAGAATATATGTATTTATATATATATATATATATATATATATATATATATATATATATATTTATTTATGTATTTATGTTTATTACAAGTATTATATATAATATATATATATATATATATATATATATATATATATACAATGTAAAGTATGTTCATTGTATTGTCACAGAGATCAAGAACTTAGGGGCTACCAAACCTCTCTAGTCAAGATAGTCAAGGAAAAAAAAGGGTGCGGGGAGCACAAAAAAGAGGGTACAAAAAAAGGAATAATTATATTGTAGTGACAATGCAATGAATAAAGTTTGGTATTGTGTATGGTGTTTTTATTGTGTAGTTTCACAGAACCTGAGGAAGTGGAATATTTGGGACCCACGAAACGATCGGAGAAATCCCCGCACAATAAATAGTAGGGTGGGAAGCTCTACCACATACTGTGAAACATATTACATTTTTTAAATTGTGGAATATATTGTGAACTCATAAGGATAGTCATGTTTGTCAAGATCATGTGGTTGTTTGAATGTTTTCTATGAATTTGAATACATGTATGGAATTTTAACAGTGGTGTAGATTGTACATACACCTAGGCACCTTCAAAGCCCATGTACTGTATGGTGGATTCTCTATTGTTTATTTACAGTTCCTATCCAACATGCAAACATACAAGTGTAGGCAGGGACAGACTGTATCTTCCTCCAACATGAAAAGAGCAGTGAGTGGCTCCTGCAGTCTGGAAGGAGTTCGTTAGAGGGAAAATTTGTCCTCTTGTGATCTATAGCAGCCATTTTAAGGAGGACAGTTGCCCCATTGGGATCTGCAATTTTGCAAGTTCTCAGACAGCCATCCTATAATAAGAGTATCCCTCTGTCATTGTAGTATGCTTGCATTTTGTATTATAACACGGAGAGAACCCTACTGGCTAGGGACAGAATAGGTGTAGTTTAGGAAGAGGTTCTGTAAGTGAAGAGAGAGAATAGGGTTCCCCTACAGTGTGCTACTACACTGCAGCACCTAGAACCAGATTCATGTATAGCCTCTTTGAATAGACTCCCAGCAGAGATAGTGAACCAGTCAACAATAAGTGGCTTCAAACATGCTTGGGGCAAACAGATCTATACTCAGACAAAAAAGTTAAAAACAAAACAAAATAAAAACAAAAATCATGTATAAATTAACAACTTCCCGACCGCCCTATAGTAGATATACTGCTACAGGGTGGCAGGGGTGCGCAAAATCATGTATATATATATGTGATTTTGCGTCTCTGGGTAGGGGGGCACGTGCGAGCCGCATGCACGCCCTACCCGTGCCAACGTTCGAGGCCGCAGCTGTCAATCACCGGAGCCCGGCCGGTAATTCCTCGCTCAGCGCCCAATGATTACCGAGCATCTCCGACGGGGAGGAGGACTGCTTTGTTTACTAACAGTCCTACTCCCTGTCAGCTTGGGCATATTGCTCTGGATGGCTGAGCAGTGTGATTACAGTAAAGCACACACACACCGCCCCCTATGTAAAACACTCCCTGCACAAAATTAACACTTTGATTGCCCCTCATGTTAACCCCTTCCTGCCCAGTGCCATTAGTACAGTGTCAGTGCTTTTTTTTAGCACTGATCACTGTATTAGTGTCACTGGGGATGTCAGTGACACCAAGTCAGTTCCCCCCCCAGTGTCAGAATGCCCGCCGCAGTCCTGCTATTAGTTGCTGATTGCCACCATTACTAGTTAAAAAAAAAATTCCACTATCTATACCGCCATTTGTAAACGCTATAACTTTCATGTAAACCAATTAATTTACATGTATTGGGATTTTTTTTAGCAAAGACATGTAGAAGAATACATTTTGGCATAAATTTATGACAAAATTTGATTTTTTAAATTTTTTTTACTGGGCATGTTTAATAGCAAAAAGTCCAAAATATTGTTTTTTTTTTTCAAAATTGTGTCTTTTTCTTTTTTCATAGCGCAAAAAATAGAAAACGCACAGGCAATCAAATACCACTGAAAGAAAGCTCAATTCATGGGAAAAAAGGACGTAAATTTCATTTGGGTTCAGAATTGCATGACCGCGCAATTGTCAGATAAAATAACGCAACGCCGTAAAGCAAAAAATGGCCTGGTCAGGAAGAGGGGGTAAATCCTGAGGAGGGCAAGTGATTACAAAAAAAATGGGCAGACTTGATGGACCACTGGGTCTATTCTGCTGTCACTTCTTCAATGTTTCTATGTTTCTCTTACTGAAGGAACATGCAGAATTAGTACCATATTGCAGTGCCACCACTCCTCTGTGGAAGTGCTCCTACACTGCTCGTAATTGTGAGTCAGTCAATACTGTGTTGGGCAGTCTTTTTTAACCTCTCTGCTTGTAACTCTGATATCAGTGCTTGTCTATATCTGCTTGTAAGTTCCATTCCAAGTGCCTAGATACATACAGTACTGAGTATGCTTCTTAGGCATAGGCGTAGGTATAGCACACACACACACACACGGGCTAATTTAGACAGGAGCAGGGGCGGACTGACCATATGGAAACTCGGGCACTATCCGGGGTCAGAAGGGGGCCCCATGAGATGCCCATGGTACCTTTTTCATAGGCTTTTTTGAGTTTGGGCAAGAACACAGGGGCCCCATGATCCTCTCTTGCCCGGGGGACCCATGAGTTGTCAGTACGCCCCTGGACAGAAGCCAATTAACCTGCCAGCTTGTCTTTGGAGTGTGGGAGGAAACCAGAGTACCTGGAGGAAACCTCGCATGCACACAAACTCCATGTCTACAGAGAGAAATTTTTTTTTACATTGCATTTTCAGCAAGATCAACAGAGATTCTCTGTACTTGCTGAAAATGGTTTTAGCTTAAAAAATGAAAAACAATGAAACTACGAATGATGATCTGCAAAATATAAAATTTTTGCTCTTCATGTTTAGTTGTGCTTTAAACACATTTGATACAATGGCCTATCACTGGAAATAATAAAATACTATGCAGAATCTCAACTGGAGATATTTGTGCTGCTTTTTACAGTTCTATTTGTCTTTCCAATGTAAGGAGCATTCATCAAGCCCAGCATTGTTATTGATTTACAGTTTTCACTTTACCTATGCTTGACTAGTGATCTTAGGAGCATCGTAACTGTCACAGTGCAGGAAAGGACCAGTGCAGAGGCAATGTAACAAACTGCAGAATAAAAAAAATGAACATTTTTATGAAAATGGTATTGAAGATGATTATTACTTGTTCAGTATTTAATAAAAGCGTAAAGATAATGTGCAGCAATCTCATACAAAGATTCAGCTTATAATTCTGGATTGTTTACCAAAGTCAGGCAAAAAATATAATTTTTGCTTACCTGATAACATTTGCTGTACTTTTCATTTTAAAATAGTTACTGGATGATGTGCAAGGTACAGTAACTTATTGCAACCAATACATTAGGACAACATGTGAATCCAACCTTACTCCATGGGAGTTTTTTTTGTACTTTAACATTCACATATTCTTTAACAACTTGTTTTTTTTTTCTACTTGCAGAGTTAGGTAATTTGCTGCTACAAGACAGTAATCTCCAAAGGATATGTGATTCTTATGGCAATTATCCTACAAGCAGGAAATTGCTTTGCCTGTCGTGCTAGCAGAGCTGACAAAAACATGCCTTTTTCTTGAATACATAGATCATAGTCAAGAGCTGTTAAAGGGGCAGTCCACCCGAATCTGACTTTTCAGTTGGTTCAAAAGCCTGAAGGTTTTTTAACCTTAATGCATTGTATGCATTAAAGAATATGTAAACCCAACATTTCCTGATATGTGCCTGCTGTAACATGTACTTGTATGAAAAAGTATCATGTTCTTTTTGTGTGTCTACCAATCGTTTTGTTTTCCTGTTGAAAACTGACCACAGTAGGCAGGAGAGCACAGTGTGGTCAGTTCTCTAGCTGGGAACTCAGTGGGGTTGATTTACTAAAACTGGAGAGTACAAAATCTGGTGCAGCTGTGTTTAGCAGCCAGCCAGCTTTCAACTTTAGCTAGTTCAATTTGACTTTGACAAAAAAACCTGGAAGCTGATTGGTTACTATGCAGAGCAGCCCCAGATTTTTCACTCTCCAGTTTTAGTTAATCAACCCCAGTGTGCACTCCTCCAGACTTGTCCTGCACAGCCTTTCACTTGGAAGATTCGTGTGCTGCTGTTTCTTCTCCCCCAGCTCTTATGCTGCAGGGAACAGAGGGTATGTGATCATTTAAAAAATGGAAAAAGGTGTATATATTGTTTTTTATATCTGTACACAAAGTCTTGCTTTTCGTTTCTATTTTAAACTAAATTGGATGTTTTACAAGTTTACAAGGTGAAGATTTACAATCAGGTTAAAGCGGAGCTCCACCCAAAAGGGGAAGTTCCGCTTTAAGGACTGCTCCCCCGCTCCCCATTAAGGATTGCCACCTTTGGGGAGCGGGGGGGGACCCGAATTTGGCAGGTACCCGCTTCCACGTCTGGGCTGATCGCCTAGGCGATTGGAAGCGGAAGGTGTCCTCCCCCCCTGTAGTCTTTTGGGACACCTGACAGGTCCATTCATGAAGCGCAGCGCATGTGTAGTGGGTAACCGGCTGTGAAGCCGCAAGCTATCACAGCCGGGTGCCCACACTGAAGATGCCAGTCTCCTGGAATATAGGACGGCTGGTGAAATGGGCTGCGGGGGAACGCCATGGGACCGAGGGACAGGTAATTGGCTGTTTTTTAAAAGTCAGCAGCTACAGTTTTTGTAGCTGCTGACTTTTATTTTTTGACAGGGTGAGTGGAACTCCGCTTTAAGGGTAAAAAAAAAAAACCTTCTGTGTGCTGTTACCCCCCAGACTTCCCCATTATACTTACTTCAGCCCATTCTTAATCCAGCAATGTGCATAAGAGCAGCTTCTCTTTCTGCTCTTTGCCTCCTCACTGGCTCAGAGACAGTGGTGAGAGCCACTGGCTCCTGCTGCTGTCAATCACAGCCAGTAAGGAGGAAGCAGAGGGGTGGGGCTGAGCCTCATTTTGTGTGTCTATGGAAACACAGCATGAGGCTAGGGAGCTGGCTTGCATAAGTGCCCCCATAACCAGCAGGCTTGCTATGGGGGCATTCATCAGGGAAGGGGGAGCAGACAGCGGAGGAGGAGGAGGATCAGGAGTGCTCTGTGCAAAACCATTGCACAGAGCAGGTGAGTATAACATGTCTATTATTTTGAAAAAAAAAAAAAAAAAACAGGAGCCTTCCAATCACTTTCAATTTTAGTAAATATTGTCAACCTTTCAATGACTTTATTGGGGGGGATATGTGTACTTGAGTTTCTTGGTGTGCTTGGTTGCTATGTCTATTTTCAGGGGGTCCTCTGTTGTTACTTATTTTATATCATGAATAATGCAACAGGAGGTGCTTGAGCACCTAAATGTGGCTGGGGACATTCCAGACTCTCAAGTGGACAAGTGGAGTCAGGAATTATGTCAGGTAGAGCTCAATGTAGATTCAGTATATCTAAGATATATAGGAAGATCAGAAGAAGAAAGAATATACTTCTGGATGGACAGACTTTTTAATTTCCTTAATTTTCAAAACTGCCTACTATAGCACATTTTAAATAATCCTTCTCACCTTCCACTGCCCAGATATAATACACAATGTATTCCACTGCTTTGTGTTTATCTTCATCTATGGTCATTCCAAAGCCTGCTATCATGAGTATAAATTCTGTATCAATGGCTCCTCGAATCTTCTGCACTGTAGGTAGGAATCCAACCAGCAGGAGGAGAGCTACCTATAAGGATGGATTTACATGAGCTATGGATCATTATTATACCTATATTATTATATTTACCCTTTATTACCTGATATGCAGACAGTACTGACACCGTGGCACCAAGGATCGATCTTAGCGGTAGATTTAAACCTGCAGAGAGAGACAGGACGTTTTCAACATACATGGCTTCATTGTACCAATCAGTGGAGCTCCTTTGTATTTAAAGAATCAAGGGCATTTAGAGTTTAGGCATGAGCAAAGGCCTACCTTTATTGGGGGGGCATAGATAGGAGCAGAGATTGAGTGACACCTGGGATCCAATGCTGACAGAATCCTTACTATCAATACAATCAAGAAAAATAATATTATAGGAAATTGTGAAAACATTTTGAATAACATACATGAGATTTATTGACATTTTTTACATTTATTCTAGATGTTATAGATATTATACATGACTGACGCTAAGGCCATTGGCATGACTTTTCTTTTGCTGTTACATTTCATTTACAGAAAAGAAAATATCCTAATGATAATAATTTCTAACTATTTTTTCATAATTTGATAATGAGGAACACTTGAAATATAAACAGACAATAATGGCCCAATTAGGTCTATGTGTGTGTGTGGAGGTGCAGTTTTTGTAGCATTAGGCAGGTGCATTGCCATACATTAATGTGTTTCCTTTGTGTGTTGACATGGGTCATTGATGTGCATTGAAGTCTGCTTACAATGGGGTTTTCACTTTAATATTTAGAGTGGATATAGCTAAGAGCCAGTGACCAAGACCTATTAACCGCTTGCTATAAACGTTTATTACATATTAAAATCAGCATTTTTTGCTAGAAAATTAATTAGAACCCCAAAACATTATATATTTTCCAAAAGCAGATCTCTAGAGAGTAAAAAAGTAGCTGCTGCATTTTTTTTTATGTTGCATGACGTTTATCAAATGCAAATTTTCAGAAAAATGAATTGTAGTGAAAATAGGCACAATACCTGATTTTTTGGTAGAATGTTAAGAATAATTTTGAGTTGAGTAAATAGATACCAAACATGTCAAGATTTAAAATGTTGCACACCTGAGAAATAATGACAAACTATGGTACCTAAAGTTTCCATAGGTGAAATTTTAAAACCCTTTATACGTTACAGGTTTACAGTTCATAATTAATTATGGCCCTAGAATTTCTGCTCTCAGTCTGATGTGGCAATATCACATGTGTGGTGCAGTCAGTGCTTACATGACAGATCTGCATGTGCCTTTGCATTTGTGTGAATGCACTGTGGACAGGGGTGCTTTTACTTTTTTTTATTGCTTGTATTTGTTTAATTTTTTATTATTTTACACTTTTTAATTTTTTTTCATTTAACTTTATTGCTATCACAAGAAGGCCTTCCCAGTTCTGTAAAAGTGATAAGGCGGCTATAAAGTCATCTAGATCACTTTTAAAAAACAGGCAGTCACTGGCTGAAAAAAAAAAAAATAGACAATGGCTACAGCTGCACTCATGATCTCGTAATAACCACTTGATGACAGGACATTTCTATAGTTACGTTGGTCAGCAAGTAGTTAGTACCCACTGCAAACACAATGTAACATGAGCTTTTATGCAATTCTATTGACTTCTATGGACTTCCCAATGCACAAAAATGCAGAATAAAACAGACTTCATGTATTTTTAAAAACACACTGCACTGCATCACTGAGATGGAAACAGAGACTATTTTTACAATGAGGAAGTTGGACACATGCGCTTTAGCACACTAAAACACGTGTGTTTAAAATGCAACAGTGTAAATGGGCCCCTTGACATTCACCCACCTAAGATAATTTTGTAAACTTGCCCTTCTACATATTTCATAAACAATACATTAAAATTCTTTCTTAATTTTTATTTAATTCCAGTATAATGTTTTTCAAAATGAATGCATATCAAATTGTACTAGTTATTCTAATTTTTGTACATCCACCCGGTAAATTCATACCTCTTTCTTATTAAAATCTAGATTTATTGAAATAGAAACAAAAGAAGTATGTGAAAACAACTACATTTTGAACAAATTAATAATGAAAGCAAAACATTAACAACAACAAAAATCCTCAGGACAGACCTGCGTTTTGATCTTTTACGCTTCAAAAGACTTTTCATATATTTGAGATAATAATTTCTTTGGGACATCTACAAAATAAAATCACACAAACATAAACTTTGTTTAATGCGTAGTGTATGACAGATCTGAGATTTGCAGATAAACAAACGATGATCCCTTAATCATGTTATTGTAAATCAAACAATGTTTTCTGCATTTCTTTTCTTTTTTGAAGAATATATGCCTGGATAAGGAGATAACGAAATTGATATACATTGTTTTTTGTGAAACAACCTTTTTTTGCTGTATATAAGCACAATGAAATCATGGAAATTATTCTTGTATGACACCAGGACTTGTATATGAATGCTAAAATAGTGATTACGGCAGAAGAACCACTTTCTACCCAGCAACACTAGACAGCCATGCGGCAGATGTGTTTTCGGTGTTCATGGTAATGTAGCATGGAGGGATGCACAGTCTATTTGGCTGCTCAAGCATTAGTCAGTCAAACCTGGCAAATGTTTTCTACACATTATTTAAACTCTGCTGCACACAGTAACTGAGCTTCTGGCAGTGACTCTAAACTGAATTACAACACCTTCCTCCTGTGTAGCACTAATGTATGAAAATGGGAAACCCGCAAACCAATACAGATGAAAACAAATCCACTACATATTAGCTGAATTTTGTGTACATGATTGTAGGCAATCATTTAACCCTTTTTAAACCAGAGGTCATTGATGCCTGTATGTATGTATGTATGTCTGTATGTCTAAATTTAACAGCATCAATATGCATCTGTTATATTACAATAACTATATTTATTTTATTTATTGTTTTAAAGGAAAAGTAAGGCTTTTATTTGGTACGATGTTTTAATAAATATCCTGCTCAGATTTTTTATTAAACGCTGAGAATTTTAAGAAACATTTGAAAAAAAAATAATGTTTTGTATTAAAAAAAAACTCTGTACAAACATTTTTCACAAATGCACATAGAAAAAGAAATACACTCGCAGCTGACATGGTACTCACATGACTTAGAACCAGGCTGATCTTTAAAGGACATGTATAGTGTTTGTGTGTGTGTGTGTATATATATATATATATATATATATATATATATATATATATATGTGGGTGTGGGTGTGTATATATATATATATGTGTGTGTGTGTATATATATATATATATATATATATATATATATATATATATATATGTGTGTGTGTGTGTATATAAATGAAAATGAAATGCTTGGCACAAAATTTTTTTTTTCATTTTCTCATTGTTCCATATATACCTATATGGAACATTGCATATGAATATTTCATGTTTACATCTTCAGTCAGTATTTGGAACTCTTTAGGCATCTTTCCACATTTACCAGGTTAGTCTTAAAGGCTAAGTTCACCTTTTGTAAAAAAAAAAGTAATAAATGCACATCTTTTTGCAGGTAAAAATGTGCATGTATTTTTTTTTTTACATTGTAACCTGAAAAGCATTGCACCCATGATTAGCAGAACATGGGTGCAATGCCAGACTCTTAGTAAACTGTCTGCTCGTTGAGAACTACAAGCCATATGCTGCAGTGGCTGACAGTACTTGTAGTCCATTCAGTGAAAACTCTGAATGACACTGATTTTAAATTGTGGCAGGGAGAAGAAGCCCTGCCAGCTATCACAGAGAGGGGTGAAGTGGGTGCATAGGAGCATTAAAAAATTCCTAAATATGGGTGTAACATGTAACATGCTTCTAAAGGTGAGCTTATCCTTTAACTGCTTTGTCCATCAGCTGAGGCTCAACTTTACGCAAATGATTTAGAACATTGACTAACCTAACTCTTTTCCCTCCCAGCATGTTCTGTGGATAGAAGTTTATGAATTTAGAGGGTTAACTAATCCCCAATCCCTCAAATTCTATGCAAAGAAACCTTTGAATTTAAAGGTGTGACTAATATCTCTCCCTCCCCCTCCCTGCTTATTTTGAGCATATGTGGATTCATTTATAGACAGACAATGTAAAAGTAAGCAGCTTCTGCTTGGTTCTGTCTTTAGTAAAGTAATAATGTTATGTAACGCCCAATATTTGAAAATTAGTTAAACACACATATAGCTAAATCTATTGAATATAGAGCCACTTGAACCTAAGATATGTTTGCCAGAAAAGATGCAGATACTGTTATATACATATGGCTGGGTAAGAGTATCTGCTGGCATAGGATGATTTCTACCTGGAGCAGGAAATGTCCAATGTCCTTAGGCACTCTCTGAGTTCTCTGATGCTCTCAGACTAAATATTGATCAGTCAGTTTAGATATCCTTTGCTGATTCTTTGCTGATCTCTGAAAAAAAGTTGGTTCTATGGTTGTTGTTCTGTTTAAACCCCTCCCTCTTCCATAGGCACAAACATTAATACTTAGCAGACTCGAGCATGCATATCAATGGTATGCTCTTCAAGATCATTTAGAAAATGCTTTTGTCCAGTCAATGGATTGAAATAAATCTGTTTAGAGCTCAGCTCCAGCTTTTTTATTGTAATCTCTGTCACTGTTCAGTAGATTTCCTTTGTGATCACTGTGAAGTGAAGTGAGCCGAATCTCTCCAACAAGGACAAAAGGGAAAAGAGTAGATCCTCAACGGTTGCACAGATAACATGAGTTGGCAGACTTTCCAGCCTTTCCCCACTTTGTTCAAAGCTTAAAAAAATGTATTTGCCTGGAATTCCACTTTTATGATGCCTTCTATCTTGGATTTATTTATTTTGTGCAGATACTGTTATATACATATGGCTGGGTAAGAGTATCTGCTGGCATAGGATGATTTCTACCTGGAGCAGGAAATGTCCAATGTCCTTAGGCACTCTCTGAGTTCTCCGA